GGCACAACTTGAGGCCGTTCCCTCTTGTCCCATCCCTTGTTCCTGGGGAGCAGAGCCTGACCCCCCTGGCTCCAACCTCCTCTCAGGTAGCTATAGAGAGCAGTCCAATGTTCCCCTCACGTGTATCAGCTAGAAAGGGGCTTCCCACAGGGCACTGGGGTCCTACTGGTGTGGGACAGGAGATGTGCATGGCAAGGGGAGTCCAGTGGCCCATCCATCCCCTGCTGAAGGGCTCAGACATGGCAGGGCCAACTCACTGCCACCAAGGTCAAGAAGCCAGGCAGGGTGGCAGCTTCTCCACAGTGAACAAAGCCTCCTTGAGATTAACAAAGTCCCCAGGAGGAAGCATCATCAGGGAAAGGATCAGCCTCCTACTCAGGGTCAAGCTGAGGATGTGGGACCTTTGAGGTTTCTGACACAGCCACTCCTTCCAGCTCCGGGCACATCACTTCACCTCACCCATGGAGTCCCCATCCCTGGAGGGGTTTCCAAGCCCTGTAGATGTGGTGCTGAGGGACATGGGGCAGTGGTGGCCTTGGCAGGGCTGGGGTAACAGTTGGACTTAATGATCTTACAGGTTTTATCCAACCAGAACAGTCTGTGGTTCCATGGCACAGTGAGGGTGATGCTCCCAACCCAGCACCCCCACAGCAGGGCAGGGGGGCAGCAAAGGAAAACAAACAACAAAGCTGATGGTGAGAAAGCTCAGGCTGCTGTTGGCAAACCTGCTTACCCCACCTTCACCCTCCCTGCCTCAGCTCCCCCAGCTGCTGGACATCTCCCACCAAGGCTGGTCCTGCTCTGGCTGTGACACAGACCAGACCCAGGGTGACAGGTCCTTCCTGCCCCAGGGAAGGGCCCGAGCTCAGCTCCCAGCCAGGGAGTCACAGGCTGGTGTGGGTTGGAAGGGATCTTAAAGATCACCTAGTTCCAACCCCTCTGCATGGGCAGGGACACCTCCCACCAGCCCAGGCTGCTCCAAGCCCCATCCAACCTGCCCTTCAACACTGCCAGGGATGGGGCAGCCACAGCTTCTCTGGGCAACCTGGGCCAGGGTCTCACCTCCCTCACAGCAAAGAATTTCTTCCTAATATCCAACCTCAATCTCCCTCTTCCACTTTTGATCCATCCCCCTCATCCTCTCACTCCCTGCCCTTGTCCCAAGCCCCTCCCCAGCTTTCCTGGAGCCCCTTCAGGCACTGGAAGGTGCTCTAAGGTCTCCCTGGAGCCTTCTCTTCTCCAGGCTGAACACCCCGACTCTCCCAGCCTGTCTGCAGAGCAGAGCTGCTCCAGCCCTGGGATCATCTTCATGGTCACCCCTGGGACTGATCCACCAACCACTGAGCTCCTGCTGACAGTTTGGCCCTGGATTCGTGGGGTTTGGCCACATTCCAGAGTTTTCCTTCTCCAGCAGAAGAAAATAAACCAAACAAGCAGGCCCGGAATAGTCCTCCCACCTCTTGGTTTCTATTTTGCAACCAGTTTGGCCCCAAAAAATGTCACTGTGGGCACGTTCCTGGCTTCCCAGCCTGGCTGTGAGTGGGTGCCTGGCACCAGTAACTCCAATTACAAGGGAGAAAGGAGACAGGAGCTCAGCCTGGTTCCTGGAAAGGGACCTGTGGGATGCCTGGTAAGGAAGTGCCAGCCCGGGGGCAGATGGGCAGCTGGGGACAGGGATGGGGACAGGTCAGATGAGGACAGTGGAAAGGAAAAAGCCTCCATGCCATGCCTGGCCAATGGGGGAACTGGGAAGGTTGAGCCAACCCTCCCAGCTGAGGGCACAGCAGGTCCCAGCATGGCTCAGACCAGGAGCCACGGGAAAGAAGGGCAAGATGTGTCTCCTCCTCCTGCACAAGGGAAGACCTTGTTGGAAAACACCATGAAGGGTGGTTTGGGAGGTTGGCCATGTCTCCCAGTACCAGAAGAAAGAAGATTTGAGCATGGCCTCACTGGCTCATGGGCTAGCATGGCTTAGGTACACCTGTTGGCTGGCATAGGACAGCACTGTAGGTGGCCAGGGCTGCCTTGGTCTCCCCAGGAGATACAACCAGTAGGCACAGCCAGTCTTGGCTGTCTTGGACTACTCTGGGTGCCACATGGGCTGCCTTTTGTCATGGGTGGTCTTGGGTGCCACAGATGCTCCTGTGTGCTATGGATGCTCTTTGATGCCATGGGAAGTGCCATGAATGCTTTTGGGTGCCACGGATGATCCCGGGTTCCACGGATGCTCCTGTGTGCTATGGATACTCTTTGATGCCATGGAAAGGGCCATGAATGCTTTTGGGTGCCACGGATGATCACAGGTTCCACGGATGCTCCTGGGTGTCCTGGGCTGCTCTGGGTGCTCAGCTCCCACTTGCTGCCACCAAGCCCCTCACCTCTCAGCACCCTGACATGTCCCATGCTCCCCCAGCCCTGCCAGAGGCACCAACAGCCACCAGGGATGCTCTTCACCCCTCCCTTTTCACACTCAGCCTTTCAGCAGGGCAAGTGGCACCAAGCCAGAAATGGGGTCCTGAGAAGACATGCAAACATCTCCAAACCTGGTGCACCAGCTGGATACAAGGCTAAGCTTTGGACATGATCTTTCAAGCCCCACTGCCAACCTCCCCACTGTCCCCACTCCTAAAGCACAACGTGCACAGGACCCTCCAGATTCTCCTTCCATCACACCAGAAGCTCCTCTGCTGGTCACTGGGACCTGTTGCCCAGCAGGGCTGTTTGGGGACACTGTGCTGGCTGCTTTTGTGCCCAAACAGCAGCAAGAGGAGGGTCCTGCCAGGCCCACAGCTCCTGGAGAGAAGCAGAAGTGGAAGCAGAACTCACCCTGCACAGACCAGCTTTCTGCTCCACCTCGGGGCCACCTGGCACCAGGAGGGACCCAGACCCAAAAAGGTACAAATGCCATGAGATCTCAGGGAGAGAGGCAAGGAGAGCAGGGCAGGAGATGCAGCTAATTGCTCTCCCAGCTCCAGCCCCAGCACGAGGAGATGCCAGGCTGGGCGAGTGCCACAGGGGACAGATGCTGCTGGCACCTGCATCCAAAAAGGAGCCCAGAAAGGCTGGCAGCCCCAAGAATGGACCAGCAGAAGAGCAGCAGAGGTTCCCAAACCACTGCCAAGCAGTTGGCACAACCCACCATGAGATACCCCCGCAGACCTCACAGCACCAGCCCCGCCAGTGGGATGGCAGCCCCAAGAGAAGAGCCCCCAGTCCCACTGAGCCCCTGCCTGGCACCTCTCCAGCCTCTCAGCACCCACACCCCCTCCTCTCCCACCCTGGGCCCTGCACCCCCTGCCCTGCACCCCACGGGGTGGGGGAACAGGGTCAAAACTCAGCATTTCAGCCCAAACCGCCTCATCGGCCGCGGGAAACCACCCCAGGACATCCCTCCCCCCGTGGGCAGGAGAGCCAGGGCAGGGCAGCTGCTGCCCCAGGTGGGACACCCAAAGCCCCTTCCCCAGCCCCAAAAACACTTACTGGTTCCTCTCCAGCACCAGGACGAGCTCCCTGCCCTCGGCCATCACGGCCACTTTCGCCCTGGCAGGCGCCGGCACCTACGGAGGAAGAAAAGGAGGGATGGGGTGAGAAATGACAGAGCCTGAGATGCTCCAGCTACCAGGAGCCACGGGAAAGAAGGGCAAGATGTGTCTCCTCCTCCTGCACAAGGGAAGACCTTGTTGGAAAACACCATGAAGGGTGGTTTGGGAGGTTGGCCGTGTCTCCCAGTACCAGAAGAAAGAAGATTTGAGCATGGCCTCACTGGCTCATGGGCTAGCATGGCTTAGGTACACCTGTTGGCTGGCATAGGACAGCACTGTAGGCGGCCAGGGCTGCCTTGGTCTCCCCAGGAGATACAACCAGTAGGCACAGCCAGTCTTGGCTGTCTTGGACTACTCTGGGTGCCACATGGGCTGCCTTTTGTCATGGGTGGTCTTGGGTGCCACAGATGCTCCTGTGTGCTATGGATGCTCTTTGATGCCATGGGAAGTGCCATGAATGCTTTTGGGTGCCACGGATGATCCCGGGTTCCACGGATGCTCCTGTGTGCTATGGATACTCTTTGATGCCATGGAAAGGGCCATGAATGCTTTTGGGTGCCACAGATGATCACAGGTTCCACGGATGCTCCTGGGTGTCCTGGGCTGCTCTGGGTGCTCAGCTCCCACTTGCTGCCACCAAGCCCCTCACCTCTCAGCACCCTGACATGTCCCATGCTCCCCCAGCCCTGCCAGAGGCACCAACAGCCACCAGGGATGCTCTTCACCCCTCCCTTTTCACACTCAGCCTTTCAGCAGGGCAAGTGGCACCAAGCCAGAAATGGGGTCCTGAGAAGACATGCAAACATCTCCAAACCTGGTGCACCAGCTGGATACAAGGCTAAGCTTTGGACATGATCTTTCAAGCCCCACTGCCAACCTCCCCACTGTCCCCACTCCTAAAGCACAACGTGCACAGGACCCTCCAGATTCTCCTTCCATCACACCAGAAGCTCCTCTGCTGGTCACTGGGACCTGTTGCCCAGCAGGGCTGTTTGGGGACACTGTGCTGGCTGCTTTTGTGCCCAAACAGCAGCAAGAGGAGGGTCCTGCCAGGCCCACAGCTCCTGGAGAGAAGCAGAAGTGGAAGCAGAACTCACCCTGCACAGACCAGCTTTCTGCTCCACCTCGGGGCCACCTGGCACCAGGAGGGACCCAGATCCCAAAAAGGTACAAATGCCATGAGATCTCAGGGAGAGGGGCAAGGAGAGCAGGGCAGGAGATGCAGCTAATTGCTCTCCCAGCTCCAGCCCCAGCACGAGGAGATGCCAGGCTGGGCGAGTGCCACAGGGGACAGATGCTGCTGGCACCTGCATCCAAAAAGGAGCCCAGAAAGGCTGGCAGCCCCAAGAATGGACCAGCAGAAGAGCAGCAGAGGTTCCCAAACCACTCAAGCCACTGCCAAGCAGTTGGAACAACCCACCACGAGACACCCCCGCAGACCTCACAGCACCAGCCCCGCCAGTGGGATGGCAGCCCCAAGAGAAGAGCCCCCAGTCCCACTGAGCCCCTGCCTGGCACCTCTCCAGCCCCTCAGCACCCACACCCCCTCCTCTCCCACCCTGGGCCCTGCACCCCCTGCCCTGCACCCCACGGGGTGGGGGAACAGGGTCAAAACTCAGCATTTCAGCCCAAACCGCCTCATCGGCCGCGGGAAACCACCCCAGGACATCCCTCCCCCCGTGGGCAGGAGAGCCAGGGCAGGGCAGCTGCTGCCCCAGGTGGGACACCCAAAGCCCCTTCCCCAGCCCCAAAAACACTTACTGGTTCCTCTCCAGCACCAGGACGAGCTCCCTGCCCTCGGCCATCACGGCCACTTTCGCCCTGGCAGGCGCCGGTACCTACGGAGGAAGAAAAGGAGGGATGGGGTGAGAAATGACAGAGCCTGAGATGCTCCAGCTGGGTGCCCGTCCACCCTGCTGCCTGCCTGGGGCTTTGTGGGACCTCCTGCAACACAAAGGGACAGGGGGTGCAGTGGAGTTTGAGCATCACCCCTCTTACGAAAAGCAGCTCCTGCTTTCTGGGGTGCCCGACATGAGGAGGACGTGGAGCTGTTGGAGAAAGTCCAGGGGAGACCATGGAGATGATCTGTGGATCTGGAGCAGTTCTGCTCTGGAGACAGGCTGGGAGACTTGGGGTGTTCGGCCTGGAGCAGAGAAGGCTCCAGGGAGACCTTAGAGCAGCTTCCAGTGCCTGAAGGGGCTCCAGGAAAGCTGGGGAGGGGCTTGGGACAAGGGCAGGGAGGGGTGGGATGAGGGGGAATGGAGTTAAACTGGAAAAGAGGAGATTTAGGTTGGACATGGGGAAGAAATTCTTTGCTGTGAGGATGGTGAGACCCTGGCCCAGGTTGCCCAGAGAAGCTGTGGCTGCCCCATCCCTGGCAGTGTTGAAGGGCAGGTTGGATGGGGCTTGGAGCAACCTGGGCTGGTGGGAGGTGTCCCTGCCCATGCAGGGGAGTTGGATCCAAATGGTCTTTAAGGCCCCTTCCAACTCAAACCAGCCTGCCATTCTGTGATCTCACACTGGCTCCCAGCACCTCTCACTTTCCAAAAGCTGACTCCCTCGATTCAAGCTGCAATGATCCACGGGACACCCTGTGCTGTTCCCACCACACACCATCTCTTCTGCCCATCCCTGTCCCCAGCACCTTTCCCTGCTCCCCAGCTCAGGGCACATCCCAGCCTCTCCTCCACAGAGCTGCTCCCCCTCCTCCAGCCCCTGCCAGAAACCCAGGGAAGGCAAAAAAACCCCAACCCCTCCTGTTTGATTTCCCATGAGCAGCAGCAGATAGAAGAGGATTTGCCCTGGGACTCACCCAGCCAGGGCAGAGGGGAGGATGCAGATCCCAGCCCTGCTGGCAGCTCCCCCAGGGAAAGGGCAGCGAGAGAGAACAGGTCTGGGATGCAGGACTGGAAGCAGAGACCCAAACATCCCAACTGGAGTCCCTGTCCCTCCAGCCCACCAGAGATCCTGGTCCCTGGGTGGGTCAGCTCCTGCGTGGGTAGGGAAACAAAGCAGCAACCACCTGGGCAGGGGATCATTGTGCCCTTAAAAACACCCGAGGGCAGCGAGAGGAGGCGACTGACTCAGCTTCCTCAGGATGCTGGTGGTTTCACTCACTCCCTCACTTGGGAAGGCACCAAATGGGAAGCCCACGCAGGGATCCACACCAGCACGGCCTGTCCACACGTGTGGGGCTGGGCTGGAGCCCAGAGCCACTGCCCTTCTCTGCTGTGCCCACATCCCTGCCCTGGCTCCAGTGCAGCATCGCCCTGTCCCTGCTCACAGCCCGGCTGAATCTGCTTCTGGCTCCTTCCCCAGCCCTGCTGGATGTCCCAGCAGGATTCCAGCCCTCAGCCCCCTGCTCAGGATCTGCTGCAGGGCCCCAGTCATGAGCTGGAGAGGTTTTCCCAGCTCAGGAGGGGAAGGGGAGAGGAAGGAGCTGTTCCCCCACCAGGCTCCGGCTGCTCCGAGCATCACGGGGTTTTGCAGCCAGTCCCCAGGAATGCAGCAGGGTGGGGGGGCAGTTGGGTGACTCCCAGCTCAAAACAGGCCAAATCCTGCTGTTCCCTCTCATCCCTACGGAGAAGGCCAACCAAGTTTAGCTCCTGGGCACCAGAGATGCTGGGGGATGCCCAGCCTGGCAGCCCCAAGGCCACCCTCCCTGGGAACCATTGTGCTTTTGAGGAGCAGCATCACTCAACAGAGCACTTTGGGGTGCAGGGCAGCTGGGTGCCCCCCCTGCTGCACCCCAGGCTTTGTGCTCCCAGGGTGGCCCTTCCTGTGGGTTCACCCCAAACTGAGCTCCAGGGATGAGGGGACCCCATGGAGCTGCTCAAGCTGGCCAGAGGAAGGATGCTTCCAGTCTCAAGGAGACCCCCAGGGTCTGAGACCCCCAGGGTCTGAGCTCTCGTGGGTCCATCTCCCAAGGATGGGAAAAGCCTCGTGGCCCCAGCCCTTGTGGCAGCACAAGGGAAGGGTGATGGAGCAGGGCCCAGCCAAGCTCCAACCCTCTTCCCAGCTCCAAAAAAGGAGACCAGACACAGCACTTAGAAAAAAAAACCAAAAAAAAAAAAAAAACCCACACCAACAAAACCAAACAAACCCAAACCCCCCAATAGCAAAGCCAGCTGAGCTGAAGGCTCTGCCACTTCCCAGCCAGTCCCTTCACCAGCCCCACAGCCCCCGTCCCCTCTCCCAGCCAGGGGCCCTGGGAGCTGTGGGGCGGAGGAGGCTGGGGCAGAGGAAGGCTCCCCTCCTTCAGCCCTGGTGGGAATGGGCTGTATTTTTAGAACATGATCTTATACAAACATCACTCCCTGGCCAAACATGGTCTGTAGGTTTTTCTTGCCGTTTCCCTTCTTTCCACACACACACACACACACACCCCCCACCACCCCTCCCTATTTTTTCAAGCCTGTTTCTCCCCCTCCCTGATCTCCCAAACACCCTCTTCCCTCAGCCTTTCTCCTCCTCCTCCTCCTCCCCACCAAGTCCCAGCCTTCCCGGTTTTGAATTCCCCAGCAATTACTCCCTGCCTTGACTTCAGGGCCTTTCCTGGCAAAATGCTCTTTCCCATCTGCTGTCTTAAAGGGACACGAGGGTGTGCAGGGTTATCCCAGCTTTCCCAACCCCCCAGGCAAGAACCATCCTGATTCCCAGGCTGCCAACGGCTGGACAACAAACTGTAGCTAATGGGATCCAGGCCTGAGCCCTGCCAGGTGGTGCGTGGCATGAACTTCCCTTCCCTGTGCCTCAGTTTCCCCTGAGAGCATGTGGAGAGGCAGGGGGGAGCAGGAGGCTGACCCTGGATTTAGCTGGGATGGGCTGAAACCAGCTCTGCTCCTGGAGAAGTAAGGAGCATTGAGTGAGACCAGGGAGAAGGAGGGTGTGAGCACCACTTGGGCCAAAAGGGAGTCAAAGGACCCAACTCTCTGGCCAGGAGAAGTTATTGCATTAATTAAACACTGAGAACTTTGCCTGGAGCCTACCTGGAAGGTGGTTGAGTCCCCAGGAGCTGCTAGCTAAGGTGTTGTGCACCTGGAATGAGCTGGGATCAGCATCTTCCTGGGCTGGAGCATGTTCCAAGGCTCCAGCATCATCCTGGGCTGGAGCATGTTCCAAGGCTCCAGCATCATCCTGGCTCCAGCACTTCCCTCCCTCATCCAAACACTGTGACCTCCTTTCTCTAGCAGCCACAAGAAGGATGTGCTGGCTCCACAGGCTGCAAGAACCACCTTCCCTCAGCCCTGGCTGGATGTGGAGGTGATGGCCCCTCTCCAGGACATCCCAGCAAAGCCAGTCCCACCTGAGGCCAAGGGCTCCAGGCCATTCTCCTTGCCCAGGCTCCCTCCATCACCAGTGGGATGCTCCCACTTCCCTGCAGAAGATCAGCTCTCCCAGGAGTGGGCTCAGGGAGCCCTGAGATCTTCTGGAAACCACTAGTGAAGCCAAAAAATCCAAAAGCCACCTTCAAATCCCAGCCTGGCCATCTGCTCAGGCAGGTCCCACAAGCCCCAGTTTTCCTAAGCAACCACATGCAATCCTGGATGTCATGAGGAAGAGGGGGATCAGAATTGCTTGGAGCTGCTCCACTGGGGATTTTGCTGATGGGTTTTGCAGCTGGAGGATCAAGGCTGAGCTGGGTCCTCCCTGGGGAGGTTGGATCCCAGCAGCAGAGCTGGGATGTGAAGAGCCAGGGAGGTGGTGGAGTCCCCATCCCTGGAAGTATTCAAAAGAAATGTAGATGTGGTGCTTGGGGACATGATTGAAGCCCTGACTGGGTAGATCAGGTTATGGCAGGGGGATTTAGGTTATGGTTGGACTGGATGATGTTCAAGGTCCCTTCCAACCAGGATGATTCTGGGATTCTATTCCAGGCTCAGGGTCTGCATTTCCATGGCCTAAATACACACCAGGATCAGGATCCCAGACCCCAAAGACAAGCTTCTCTCTGCAGTTCCTCACTGGAAAAGCATCCCAAGGACAGGCAGCTCTGGAGGAGCCAGAACAATCCAGGCCCCCAGAGACAGAGAGGCAGGATATTGGTTGTTTCACAGCAAACTTGGCTCTGGGACCACGTCAGGGTTTGCTCAGCCCTGCCACACGTTGCCAAGGGAAAAGGGCTTCCCTGCAGGAAACAGATGGCAGGAGTGTGTGTCCTCAGCACCTGCAGCCCAACCCAAACCTGTCCTTCTCCTCCCTTCCTGCCCCAGGGCAAGGCTGTGACCCCAACATGGATCTCCAGGGAGGGTCCCACACAAGAGGGACAGGGTCTGGCACCCCGACCACAGCCAGAGGGGATGCTCCAAGTGTTTGTGGGCAAGGATGAAGGGGACAGCTGTGTCCCACTACCAAGGCAGGGAGACACTGGTTGCTCCAGGGACCCAGAGGATGATCCCGTGGGCTGAGAGGCAGTGGGGGGAGAGGGGGAAGGATGGTCCATTGGTGTCAAGGTGTGTTCCCATCCAGGGACAGGGTGCCAGGACAGACCTGGAGGGAGGGGGAAAGGCTGTTCTGCCTGGGTGCTCCTCAGCCCTTGTGATGTACAGAATCCCAGACTGGTTTGGGTTGGAAGGGACCTTCAGGATCATCCAGTCCCAACCCCCTGCATGGGCAGGGACACCTCCCAGCAGCCCAGGCTGCTCCAAGCCCCATCCAACCTGCCCTTCAACACTGCCAGGGATGGGGCAGCCACAGCTTCCCTGGGCAACCTGGGCCAGGGGCTCACCACCCTCACAGCAAAGAATTTCCTCCTAATGTCCAACCTCAATCTCCCCTCTTCTAGCCTGAAACCAGTGCAGTGAGAAACCACACCCAGGGAGAAGCAGTTACAACAGGAAGGAAATAAGACAGAGAAGGGGCATGGGCAGCATGACAGGCTGGGTGGGACCCCAGGCTGGTGGGACACCTGGGCCAGGATACTGGTCCCAAGCTCAGAAAGGCTGGGATAGCCTGTGGTCAGCTCTGGGCAGCCTTCATCCCATGCCTGGAGCTGGGGGGAAGGGGTGGGAGGAGGAGGATGCAGCAGCGGGGCAGGATCCCTCCCCACGCCGGTGGTGACAAGGGAGCTGTTTGCAATCAAGGTCCCCACGACCTTCCTCCCCGGCCTCTCCAAAATCACTTCCATGTGTGCCAGGAGCTGTGGAGCCTGAGGGGAGCTCAGCCCTGAACAATAGGAGAGAGGAGGGTGCAGAGACGGGGGGAGCAGGGTCTGACCCCCCAGTGCCACGCCAGCCCGCACACGACGGGGACCGCGCGGCCACCACCAGCCTCCTCCTCCTCCTCTTCCAGCTTGACCTGGCTCCTCCAGAAGGAGGAGGGGAAGGAGACACAGGGATGTCCCCTGCAGCATCCCACCCACGGAGGAGCAGCTCCTGGGGAAGGGACAGAGGAGCCTTTGGGGAGGTCATCAGGCTCCAACCCCACCGGTGAACCCATCAGCCACTTCATGTTGTCCCTTCCCAGGGGTCCCTCCCCGAGAGCCAGTCGTGCCCAGGCAGACAGAGCTGGCTGGAGGCAACCACACAGCTGTGCTTCCTTCCAGGATCTTTGCTGGAGGGCAAGGAGGAGACTTTTGGCCAGAGACCCAACTGATCCTAAAAACACACGCGGCAGCGGCGGCACCGGGGATGGGAAGGGCCGTGTTGGGGCTCTGTCTGTTGGGGCTGCTCACCTCTCCTCCATCCTTTGGTTGCCACCATCCTTCTCCTACAAATCTCCTCACTCCCAGCAGCGACCACCCCCCCTTCCATCTCTCCCCTCCTTTCCCCTCCTCCGAGGAACAGGAGGCTCCTTGTTTCGGGCTGGCTGGAACCAGAGGAGCCGCAGCAGATGCCAGGAAACGTGCCAGAACCTGCCCACCCACCCCATGGTCCTGCTCCCTGAGCTGCCCCAGACCCACCAGCCCTAGGATGAGCCCTGAAATCCCCCCACCCCTGGGATTTGCACCCACCCAGCACAGTTTTGGGGCAGCAGGGTGTTGGGGAGAGTATAAATAACCCTCCTGCTGCCACGCGGTCCCCGTCTCCAGTGCCCTCCAACTTAAATATAGGCCAACCCAGGACTGCTAGGAAGGGAGGGGACATTTCTGCAAGCTGACCACAGCATCCCCAACCCCGTGGGCTATTTCTAGCTCCTGGAGAATCACAATTCCCAGCAGCCAGCACCCATGAGAGCAATACTCCCCAATCCTCCAGGAAAAGGCACCTCTCAGCCCCTCGGGGGAGCCAGGGCAGCACAAAGCCCCTCTCCACCTCCCAGCAAACTCTCACCCTCAGTTCTCTCCAGCACAAAGCAAGGAGGCCTCACTTGGAGACACCTCAGGGGGGCTTCAAAGCTGCGTCCCCAAGCCCCCACCCCAGGGAGATGCCACCAGAAATAGCCCCTTGGCAGCACTGAGCCTCCTCAGCAGCGAACCCGCTCAGCCCCAAAGCACAGCCCTTTCCCACAGCCCCCCACACCAGTGCTGGGATGTGATTTGATCTGTCCCAGAGGAGACCACAGCCCCCAACTGCTGGGTACAAGGACCAGCTGGATGAGCAGCTGCAGGGCTGGGTGACCCCAGCGCTGGGCGAGGCGCCAACCCCAGGCTGGGATCACCACGGGCACGCCCGTGGGCTATTTCCAGCTCCTGGAGAATCACAATTCCCAGCAGCCTGCACCCATGAGAGCAATACTCCCCAATCCTCCAGGAAAAGGCACCTCTCAGCCCCTCGGGGGAGCCAGGGCAGCACAAAGCCCCTCTCCACCTCCCAGCAAACTCTCACCCTCAGTTCTCTCCAGCACAAAGCAAGGAGGCCTCACTTGGAGACACCTCAGGGGGGCTTCAAAGCTGCGTCCCCAAGCCCCCACCCCAGGGAGATGCCACCAGAAATAGCCCCTTGGCAGCACTGAGCCTCCTCAGCAGCGAACCCGCTCAGCCCCAAAGCACAGCCCTTTCCCACAGCCCCCCACACCAGTGCTGGGATGTGATTTGATCTGTCCCAGAGGAGACCACAGCCCCCAACTGCTGGGTACAAGGACCAGCTGGATGAGCAGCTGCAGGGCTGGGTGACCCCAGCGCTGGGCGAGGCGCCAACCCCAGGCTGGGATCACCACGGGCACCTCATCTCAGTGGGTTTGGAGACCCTGAAGGTGGCAGGGAGGGTGTGACAGGCCAGCAGACCTGCCCTGGGATGAGAGGTCCTTTTCTCCCCACAGCCTGGGCCCAGCTTCTCCACAGTTTTCCTCCAAGGACATCACTCCTAACTCCTGCAGCACTTTCCCGTGAGCTGACCCTGCTGGTCTGTCCATCCTGGCCCATCATCAGGCTGATGAGTTACCTCCATCTCCTCTCTCCAGACTGCCCAAGCCCCTTTCTGCTCCCCCTGTAGCTCTTGGCCATCCTTCCTGCTGCCCAACACTTAGGACCACTCCTAATTAACTGAACCCTCTGCTTCCCCTTGTTCATCACCTGAATGTGGTGACGGGTCCCGTAAACTTCACATCCTGCAAACCTGACATCCCCACCTGAGCCCCACCAGGAAGACCCCCAGGTGCAAGCCCTGGCCACACAGGGCAGGGGAGAGAAACCATCTCTGCTCTTACCTTTTCATCCAGGCTGACAGCTCGTCGGGTACGGCCCCCCAGGAGCCAGTGTGGGGTGACCTGCTCCCCATGGGGTGGTGGACCTAGAGGAGAGAAGACCTGGTGAGCACATGCAAGTCCCTCAGAGTAGGAGCTCCTCTCCCTCTCTCAAGAGAGAAATGGGAGGAAGAGACAGAGCTGGAGGCTCTGGCCAACATCCAGGGCCACCTCCAGGGTGTTTCTGGGGGATGGACACCAGCATGAAGCCAAAGCATCACCCCCTCCCCAGGCCAGTGCCCCCTCATCACGGACCAGCCTCGCTGCTGGAGCATCACTGCCCACCCAGCTCCCCAGCCTAAATCCCCTGAAACACCCTATGGGGAAGCAGCCAGCACATGGGTGGCACCACCCTGGTCCTGCCCATCACCAGCCAGCCCAGGCAAAGCCCACCAAGCACCCCCAGACCACCCCAGCCAGAGCTGGGAGCAGAGGAGCTAAAATAGCTGCAGCACATCAGGGGTTTCTCTGAGCCCTCCCAGCTCCCCTGGGCAGAGCAGTACAAGCAATTAATTCCTTGGCTCCATTAGAGACAGACTTTATAAAGCTATTTATTTTTTTTTTCCCCCTTAAACAACGTGGCTGGGCTTGATTGCACCAGAGTGAGCAGCTCCTGGTGACTTAAGCCTGGACAACAACAGGAGGAGGGAAAAAAACCACCACAACAATCAAATACAGTCTGAAGATGCTGAGGAGAAAGGATGAGGCCTTGCAAAAATAATGAAGGGCTGGGCACCACTTTGCCAAGCCAAATGTTGTCAGAGAAAGCTTGGATGGAAGAACCTTCCCCAACAAAGAGCCAAGTTATTTACCAAGGGGGTGGAATAACTGGGTTTATGGCTTCAGAATTTTGGAGGCTTGTTTTGGGTCCCACGTGCAATGATCTGGGGGGGGATTTGGCTTGAAGAAAGAGGAAGTTATTGGGAAGAGTTATTGAGAAATAATTCAAAAGGGAAACAAAAGGATGGAGTTATTGGTTGGGAATGAACTGGTGGGGAATGAATTGGTGGGGAAGTGAGTGCTGAACATGATCCAGCCCTGTCTGTCCCAGCAGGCCCCAGGATGTGCTATCACACAGTGGCATTTAATCAGTTTTCATTATATATAGCCTGTAATCAGATTCCAGGAATAACTACAGATAAGGTGGTGGCACAAGCCCAGTTTCCTTCCCCTCACCTCCCCCAGAAGAGTCAACGAGGCCCTTCAACCTCCCCATAAGCTCCACTTTATAAGAGGGGAAACTGAGGCACAGCCCTGAGGTGACTTCTCTTCAGCCACACAGGGTGAGCAGCTCCTGGGGGGTTTTCCTGCCTTCCCATTTCAGATAAAAGAGGGGGGAAAAAAACCCACAAACCTTTCCATTTTGTCTTTCCTGGCTGCCTGGGAGGGAGAGGCTGCCTCTCACTGCAGAGCTGCCCTCTCTCCCACGCTGTGTGGGGAGAGGATGGGACACGAGGGGCACTGGTTCTGCAGGGATTACTGGGGTCCTCAAAACCTCTGGGTTATTCCATTAAGCTCCCTGCTGCTTTCACTACAACTTCTGCTGGGAATCAGACTCGGAGCACGAGACGGGGCCTTACGAATCTAAGTCAAACAAACCCAAATGTGGTGCAGAAGGGGTTTCCCACCCCTTTTTTTCTTTCTTTCCTAGAAAACCTACTCCTTCCCAGCCTCTCCTGGGAATGCTGCAGCAGGAGCAGCATGGCTCTGGCATTTGGGGATGGCTAAGGCAGCAGCTGAGCCCTGCAGCTCCCAGGCTCCAAGCAGGGCAGGCAGCTTTCCCGGCTGCTTTTCCTCCTCTCCTCCTAATCCAAACAAGAGGTTTCTGGCTCCCACCACCCTCCTCGTTCCTCCCTCTCCCAGCTGCTCGCACGGGGCTCTTTCTGAGCTGCTGGCAAACTTCTTTTCAGCAGCAGAGAAGCCAGGGAAGCTCAAGAGCAAAAAATAAGGGCACGGAGAAGCAGCAGCTTCTTGGTTGGGGTGGTGGATGGAGAAGGGGAGACCAACCTGAACCCAACCTGGCAACTTCTGCCCTTCTCCTCCTGCTGGAAAAGGGGGAGAAACCTCGGGGGGGACAAGCAGGGATTCCCTCCACGGGATGAAAAGCTGAGTTTCACCCCAAAACACCCGGCAGCAGGAGGAGGAGGAGGAGGCAGCGCCGGGTCCCTGCAGAGCTGCCACCAAGAGGAGCTGGGACAGTTGCAGGGACACAGGGAGGTGCGGGGACATGAGGCAGGGGATTGGGGG